ATTTTTAATAAATTAATTAATTTGAAATTTCAAGAAAATTGTTTAGAAAACAAATGTTTGATAGAAAGAAGAAAAAAAATATATAAACAATATTTTTTTTTATATATATGCGTATAGAAAAATATAAAAATATTCATTTTTGATATTCAAATCAGTATTTCAAGAAAATAAAATGTTCATTTAATAATAAATAAAATATAATACAATTTTTTTTCAATCAAAAAGAAAGTTTCAAAATAATCAATAACCAAAGTGTATTGTAATATCAGATAAATCATTGTCTGTAATGCTAGATTAAAAGTAAAAATAAAAAGCAATTAGTTCATCACATGTATAATGCGTATATATATAATGGAAACATTAAGATACATTATGATATTTTGAAAGTTTAAAGATATATAATTTTTTCTCTTTTCTCTTTTATTTTATTCTAAAGTTATAGTAATCAGCATAAGTTTTGATTTATAATTTTTGAATAATTTATTTTATTTTGAATTTTAATTTAGGAATTTTGAATTTTTATAATTAAAACAAAAAATTATATTCATTTTATATTTATTTATATTCATTCGATTAATAATTAAACAGATAATTTATTTATTTGTTTAAAATAATAATAATTAAAATAATAAATGGAAAATAAAAAAATTTAATTCCTATGTTAATCATAGAGGGCGTAAGAAACACTTTGATTCTTTTCTTTAAGGTTGGTATTTCAGAACACGAAGTACCATAAGACGCCATTTCATTTTTAGTTTCAATTCTAACCATTGGTAGCGTTGTAATCTCTTCTATGCTGAATTGATAAGGATGAAAATGACAAAAAAATGATAATAAAGTTAAAAAGTGTAAATATCGTAATTATATAAGAAAAATATATTACATTATTAGATCTATGATTTTTTCTATGCGCATATATATATGTAATAATTATAAATCTAAATTCATAAACTCAAATTATTTTATAAACGCAAATCACTATTATTGATTATAAATATGCTGATTAATAAAATTCATTTTTTATTCGATTAATTCACATATTGCTGTAAATTATATAAATCATATATATTAAATATATTCTTTAAAATTATTATATTTCTAATATGTAACGAATTATTAAAATAGAAAAAGAAAAATTTAAACAAATTAATAATAATTAATATATATATATGTTATAATTAAATTAAATTAACAAAAGTTAAGTTTACCGATAAAGTGACAATGAAAAATTATTGTAACGCGCAATACACATGTATGTTCAACAAAAGAAATTTTCGAAAAATGCCGCCATATTGTAGATGACACGCGCATGCGTTTCGTCTACCGCGACGTATTCTTATTGGTCAATTCCGGAGTCGGCTCTCTGGAGTACACGCGCGCTCAGGTGCCGTACTGATCGCTTCGATGACAAGGCCGCCAGTTACTGTTCGTGCACGAATGCGACGAAATACCCGAACGTCTTGGCGGGTTTTCGCTCGGAGCTGTGTTCACGAGACCAGCTCAGCAACGAGGAAACGAAGGTGACGTTTCTACGAGAAAGAAACAGTGAACGTTCAACGATAAACGAGAAGAATAAGGACCAGCATCGAGGTGATACTTGCACATAGGGACACCAACGCACGGAGAACCTGTCGAGCACCTGAAGTTGCATTTTAGTCCAACTTTGGCCGCGCTGATAGGCGGACGATTCGCAGGTGAGTGAGCTGTAAACGATGCGTCGGCGCGACTAAGCACGCGGTTTCTCTATCTCGCTTTCTCTTGTATCCTTGTCACGTTCACGGATTTCAATGAAAAATTTCTGTGCCTATCCGTTGTATATTCAAACATTTAGTTCTACGCATCTCAATGAATACGTATATTTGTATATTCATATCTCCTTCAAACAATCAATCTTTTTCGTTTCAAAATTTCTTCTATTTTTTTTTTTTTATTCTATTATCGTTCGAAAATTCACGAACTCGAATGATTCCGAGATTGTGTGACGGCTCCAAGTGACCGATGAATATTTGACAGGAGACTGATAGAAATTCGATTAATAGAGGCGCTCTGCTCGAGACACGGATCGTTATCGATGCTGTCCTTTCCTGACAGATCTTTCAAATACACATATCCCTCTTGTTTCGATTCCCAAAAAATGATTGTATAAATGGTGATCGAATATAAAGAAGAGAGCAATCTTTTTAACCTGTTTCAAAGTATTCAATGGATTTGCTTGTCTCTTTTTTATCAATGAATTAATCGAGATTTAATCGAGACAAATTGATGGTTGAAATTAACGATTTGAAAGGATCAAAGTAACGGTCTTTAAGCAGTCTTCTCTTAGATTTCCTAAACATATATAGCGGAAGAACTTCGCTCGCGACCTTGATCGTACAGTTGGTATAGCGGTATACTCGAGCCGCGCGCGTCGATAATTCCTGTCGTGCATTCTCTGTCTCGTATTCGCTGTCTTCGCGCCAATCCACTCGTTCCCCTCTCAGCTGTGCATCGATACCTGTTTACAACGTGTTCCTTCCCGATCCTTGAGTATAAACGTGTTTATTATCAACTGTCAAACGTGGAAAAATTTTACTATTAGGCAGCAACAAATTCGAAGAAATAAGAATTAGAATAGAATAATGAAATTTCGAAAATATCGATTTCGAAGATATCGTAGAATAATTTTTCGATTTTGATACGAGTGAAAGTTAGTTACAAGTTATGTGTGTGCATTTATTACGTAATATATAGAATTATTATTAAGTTAAGTCTATTGAAAGTGCAAATATGATAAATATGGTTTAAATGGATAGTTCAAAGATTGAAATTTTAAATAGCTTTAAACGTAATTTAAAAATAAATTTCATTGTATTCAAACGAAAGGTCGCGACTTTCGATATTTACTAATTAAAATTTTAAATTAGAATTTCTTACATTATTAAGTTATATTGAAAATATATGATAAAGTTGTGTTGAATTTATCATGAATAAGATGCAATAATAAAAATCATTCATACGAGTGATTTTGAAATTGAAATTTCGAATAATTTAATTTAATTTTGAAATAAATTCTTTAATTTGAATCTAATCTAATATCATGATTTTCAATATTATTTGATTATTATCTATTGCATCTATTTGCAATTTTAGAACACGATTGAATTTTATGAATAAATTTTGATGGAATAAAAGTTTGTTTCGCTGAAAATGTGTCAATTCCGATTGATTTTCGGAGAAGCAAAACTTTCTTCTACATCGTAGAACTTTGTAGAATTTCTATAGCATTCATCTAAAATATTAAAATCGAAATTTCAATCATTTTTGCATAAATGTTAAATAAACTAAACAAATTTACATCTACTTCGAATAAACTACTGCGAATTCGTGCAATTCGAATATATATTTTCAATAAATATTTTCATAAATCTTATTTGTTTAAATTGAGTTTGCATTTGAAATACATTTTTTCATAGATTTTTATAAATTTTCTTCTAAAATTATTTTCAAATAAAGTTCGTTCAAATTTCACGTTTGAATTTGCTGTCATAACTTTTAGATTGATTCTTTTATTATATATATATTATTATAAATTAAATATTTTTAATTTAAAACTTATTGTCTCACATATATATACACACAAATAATTAATCTTTGATGTATAACTGATCAATTGAAGTGAAACAAAATATATGAAATAAGTAATTTTTTAAAATTAAAAACGATATTAGGTATTCCAAATATTTTTTCAAAATATTATAATTCAAAAATAAATCTCAAAAATTATTTTGATATTAAAAATATATGAGAAAATAGAAATAAACATTTCTTCTAAATATCTGTATATTGAATATGTAAAATATTTTTTGAATTTTATTCTATATCGTATAATTAATTGAAAAATCAGCATTGATTACGTAATCGTCATTAGTATTTTACAAGTAATAGTATTTTAAAAAGCAAGAATTTTCAGATGCGAAAATGAATAGATCTTAAGTTTAAACTTCTTGAATAATTTAATATCAAGTTTTACGAAGAAAATTTAAAGTTTTATAATACGATAAAAATTTTATTACCGTTTATTTAAACTTGAAAATTTTTTATTTCAAAAATACATGAAAATACTTAAAAAAGGAAAAAAAAAGAAGAACGGAACATTAGATCATCCCATGAGATAACAAAGGAAAAATAGAATGTAGAAATAATGGTAAACGGGTCAATTAGTTGAACATTTGCTTAGGTAAACTTGGAAATCTCCTTTCTGTTCCATTTCAGAAGTTCGACGTACCACATTCTGTATTAAGGTTTCCAGAAAGTCTTACAATGGAGCCTGGCAAAGAGTGTATTCAGTATCGTTCTCTTTATGAATCGAACAAAAGGCGACATTGCAGTCGCAATAGTCTGTAATATACTCAAAGCAATGGAAATACTGTAATTAATACAGACCAAGTATATTTAGCCAAATTGCAGAAATGAAATTCTATCGGATAATTATCTTCGATTCTTCGAAAAATTTAATCAGCAAAATTGAAAGAATTCGTGAAAAATGTTGAGTATTTCATCTCAATGTTCTTTTTTCCTCTTTCTTTCTAAATATTTAGAATATGTGATATAAATGTTATGTATTTAAAATTATAGAAATTAATTTTATAGAAAAAATAAACATTATATAATTAAAAATAACAAATTTATTTCAAAAATTTATATTCGAATAAAATGTTTAGAGGATAATTTTAGATATTCTTTAGGTTGATAATATGTATAGATACTGATTTCATTATTTAATTATTTAAAGATTACATTTGAATGTAAAATATCTGCCGATTAATTAGTTTCAAATTGATTTCAAACAGCAGAAATTTCTTATTACGATTATTATAACGATTAAAAAATTTTAATTCCCCTTTATAAAATAAAAGATTATAGAACTTTTTTTTATTCTATAATTATTTAATAAAATTATAAAAATTTCTTGATACAGCATTTACTTAAAGTCAAAACTATTATTAATTTCATTAATAATTTTAATTTACTTTTTATTTAGATTTTAAAAGATACAAAAATAAAAATTTAAGATACAAAATATTAATTTTTAATTTTTTTTTCACTTGCACAAAAAAATTAAATAATGAATTAAATAAATACTTAGTTTTAAATAATTATTCCTTTTATTTAATTTTTCATTTAAAACAAATTCATAAAAAGATTATAATAAACATATACATAATAATATACATTGATTGATTTTTGTTGAATATATGAAAATATCTCTGCCATATCGATAAAAGAAAACACAAGACCTACTTTTGATAAATATTTATCTATTATTTCATTCTACAATTATACAATTGTTTGAAAATAAAATAAAATGTATACCGAAGTATTTTTGTTAAAAAAATAAAAATACTCAGATGAATATTTTTTAAATATTTTTCAATTGTATTGGAAACATATCTGTCTTGTCTGTTATCCATTTAATCGCGTCAATTATTTTTTCTTAAAATATACCATATCAATGCCTCGATCTAACAATAATTCAACAGTTTTCTACATTTTCAAGATGTTAAAAAATTTCTCTTCGATAAAACAAACGACATTATCAACTCGATTTTCCTTCTTTTTTTTTTTCTCTCTCTCTTTACATAACTTTTTTGCGTTTCAAAGTGATAACCGATCGACGCAGTCACGTCACGAGTTAGTAATCTGATCGTTAAATGACCTCTGTCATTTATCGCGCAATACATAATGGGATCGTGCGAAGGAGTTAAAAAAGCGTGGACGTATCGCGAAACTCGATATCCGAGAATCAATCGAGGCACAATGGGCGATAATCGGAGCATGACAAGATGCAGATCGAACCATTCAATTACATGGTTCCGGATTTGTGAATTTACCGTAAATTATTCCTAGGACTTTGTGCTTCGGCCGCGGAACCAGATGATAAAAAAGTCGCAAAACCAGATCCCAAAGAGCTATCCCAGCTATTTCTGTCGTTGAAGCCATTCAAAGGAAAAGCGATATGCTTAAATGTTACGTGAAAGTAGTCGATAATTTGACGATGTAAAGTGTTACTCGATTCAAGCTAGTTTGGAAATTTGACGAGAAAGATTTAGTATTCAAAAATAAAATTTGCTAATTCCGCAATGGTGGAAAAAGTTACGTGACAAAATTAATCGCGTATATTTACTTTGTTGTCTTCTATTTTTTTTTACACAGATTTTAAATATGAAAGAGGAGATAAAAATAAATAAACAAACAAATAAAGAAATAGAATTTATATCCATTGTTATTTCAAAATTCGAGTAATAGTCGAATAAAAAAGGCAAATACAAAAAACAAAGAAAGATGAAAAGTAAAAGCATTATTTTAAAATTCATAGTTGAGAATTTGTAATTTAAAAGTAAAATTTATAACACTTCAATTTTGAATATTAAGCAAAGTAAGAAAAAGATGAATGCGTAATGTGATGTTGAATTAATTTTCGATTCGAATTATTTGAAAACTTGACGAAGTAAATTTTTTAAGTTTAAAAATAAAATTTATATCACTATTCTAAGTTTGAATCATAAGAACAAGGAAAATAAGAGCAAACAAACTTGTCTAATAAATTACGTAAAATATATCCTTCCATGATATTTATGATAATAAAGTAATATCGCGAAGTATAAAAGAGTCGGAATATATACAAAGTAACGTGCTTGTAGAATTTGCTTTTGAT